ACATGGATGACTATTTTTTCATCTGGGCTCATAGCAAGGAAAGTTTAGCTAGTTTCCTACTTTCACTTAACCAGAGTGAAAGGAACAGTAGCTTCACGATGGAAATGGAAGAGAATAAGTCCTTACTTTTTCTGGATATTCTCATCCTTGGCGAAGAGGGTAAGTTAGGAAGGGATGTTTATAGGAAGCCAACATATTTTGGCTCTTTGCTTAATTTTCTTTCCAACCATAGTTACAAGACTAAGGTTGGAATTTTGAAGTCAATGATTCTTAGAAGTATGAGGCTAGCGGATAGCAAACATTTTACAAAAGAGTTACAACGGCTGACAAATATATTCCTGGAAAATAATTGTCCTTTGGGCCTTATTGAGAATAATATTTTTCTACTGAGGAATACATTTTCAGACGGAGACCACTTAGTCAAAGAGAGACAGGCTGAGACCTTTTTCCATGTTCTAATTCTTCCGTCATGTCTTCTCTTCAAAAAGGATAGGGGAATTAGCAAAGAAGTGGGGCATAAAAACAGTGTTCACAGAAATCCTTACACTTTCTTGTATTATGCCATCTTTTAGAAAGAAATATGATCCATTATCGATATTCCGCTGCTACAAGATTGGTTGCTCATGTGGTCGATGTTATGTTGGTGAGACATACCGACCTATTCGACAAAGATTAGTGAACACAAAAATGCTTGTAAAGGAAGCTGAGTCCAACGGTCAGACGTGGCTGAACATATGATAGAAACATCAATTAAAATAGAATTGTCTCAAACTAGAAGGTTTGCTGATTATGGTACGTCTGCGGTTAAAAGAAAGATAAGAGAGGCTATTTAAATTAATAGCTTAGGAAATACATTCAATGTGAGGAACGGTGGTAGAAAGTTGAGAAGGTATTATTTATACTTGATTGATAGATTGAAGAAGACAGGGTGTTGGGCCGCCATCCAAAATAAGGCGACTCAACTGGTCTACTCAGTGATTATTCCAACTTCACTCACACTCGTCCAACATGTTAGATTAAGCTCCTCAACCAAACCAGACGTGCTAGATTATGCAGCTCCATTCATGCCTTCCCTTGGGTGGTTAAGCCTTAGTGACCCTAGACGGAGAGGTTAGGACAAATGGTTTCGTAACTTGACTTACATGCTTACAAGCTCATAGCTCATTATCTCAACC